GCAGGACACAGGAAAAACCAGGGCTTAAGTAGAACAAAACGAGGAAAACCTGGCATCAACGAACATAATCAACAAGGGAAAAACTGGGTAATAGGGAGCAAAACACAAGACAGACAGTCCAGGGGTGTGACAACTATATTTATAAAGATATCATATAATATTTATAAAGGTATAATATATCATGTATATAATATACAAGTAAAAAAATAGCCCACTTTTCCAAGTAGTAAATAAAAAAGAGATTATAGAAGTACATTTACTGTAAGTAGATATTTTTGGTGCTGTTTTTTTTTTTTTGCAATTTTAATTGTTTGTGAAATTTACTAGCCATTTCTGAATGAAAATGGTTTCAACACCTGTTTTTTTTCCCAGAATATTTATATTACATTTAAAAATAAACTAAAATTGTTTAAAATGGAACATGTGAAATAAAACAGGTAACCCCCTCTGATAATAATAATAATTATTATTATTATTATTGTTGTTGTTGTTATTACAATTTTAATTGTTTGTGAAATTTACTAGCCATTTCTGAATGAAAATGGTTTCAACACCTGTTTTTTTTCCCAGAATATTTATATTACATTTAAAAATAAACTAAAATTGTTTAAAATGGAACATGTGAAATAAAACAGGTAACCCCCTCTGATAATAATAATAATAATTATTATTATTATTATTATTGTTGTTGTTATTAAATATGTTATTCAAAATATTATTTTATTTTATTAAATTGCAAAACTTAAATCACTAAATAAATAAATATTACTAATATTACAATAACACTTTTGTTAAATAACACTTACTGTAAAATCAAATTAAAAAACTGTAAAAAAACAAATGTAAAAAAATAAAAAGTCAAATAAAAATGAGCATTTAAAATTGTAATACATATAAAAGTAAAGTATTTTAAAATTAATAATAAAGCTCAAGTGCTGCTGCCATTGAAGCAAATGAGGACATAAAAATACTAAGACAGTTTAAAATGGAACATGTGAAATAAAACAGGTAACCCCCTCTGATAATAATAATAATTATTATTATTATTATTGTTGTTGTTGTTATTAAATATGTTATTCAAAATATTATTTTATTTTATTAAATTGCAAAACTTAAATCACTAAATAAATAAATATTACTAATATTACAATAACACTTTTGTTAAATAACACTTACTGTAAAATCCATACACACATACATACATAAAATTAGAAAAATATCAATTGAAAAATATAACGTCATTTAATAGTCCAACTGGACCTAGCTTGTTCAACTTGATTTCAATTGATAGGCCTATCGATTGTACATCTTGTTCTTTTTGCTTGTATCTATAAATGTCATGTTAACTTCATAAAGCTTCAGCAAGAGCCTATACGAACCGCTATCCGTGCCAGAGAAGTGATTGCTGAGTTCCATTTGTCCTTCCTGCGGTCCAGGATGATGATGAAGCCAATGCTAGCAGCATCCATGCTGGACAGATGAAGGACAGAAACAGACAGGTCAGGCATTAAAACCAAAACCATCAGACAGAAATCAAGCAGAAAACGGCTTGTTCTTGCAGCTGCTTTCACTACACATTTTGAAGCTCATTACCAATGGCAATAAGCCTTAGAAAAATAAATGAGGTTTCACCTTGGTATGCTGGTCAGGTATTTGACAACATTAACAAAATCCTCATCAGACACTTCATTAAATCCTGAGAACTCTGGGAAGGTGATGATGGGAGATCCATCTTTTCCTCTTCCTCCTGCAAAAATGTTAGTGAGTATGATTTTTTTTTACATGTTAAATGGCACTCTGGCAATTGTATTTATATATTTATATTTGCTAATTTATTATATTTCTAAAAGTATAATATATTTACATTAAAATATATATATAAACATTCTCAAATAAAAGAGGAGCCCTGCATGACTATGTTCACAGACTGTTTTTTTTTTTGCAGTTTGGTTTAATGGTGTCATGACCAGCACACAGTTTCTATGCACCATTTACACCTCAACAGAAACTACCCGCACTGAGTGAGCATGCATGCAGCAGAAACCAGGTGTGAGGCTGTGAGAGCATTCTGACCTACATAGTTTTTTTTTTTTTAACTAGGCCATTACCTATAAAAACCCTCTTACATGTCTTGCTTCTGACATTATCCTTAAAATGATTCTCAAGTATTCATCACACCATTTTTACTTTTATTTGACCTAAGATATTTAAATGTATATGCATTTCATTTAGGAAAATAAGAACCACCTCCTTTCAACCACAAGAGGGCAACAGTGGAATCAGAGATATCCATTGAGTTCTGACACATTCCTAAATAATCTGATTAACACACTATTTAAAAAAAACTGACAAAAACCCAAATAAATTTTGACTGGTTACAAGCTTTTTTACATACTATATAAATCTGATACATTTTCACGCTCACATATTCTGTGTTATGAAGCTTCCCCTAATTGGGGAAGTCATGGCCTAATGGTTAGAGTCGGACTCGTAACCCAAAGGTTGCGGGGGTTTGAGTCTCGTATCGGCAGGGATTGTAGGTGGGGGGAGTGAATGTACAGTGCTCTCTCCCACCTTCAATACCACGACTGAGTTGCCCTTGAGCAAGGCACCGAACCCCCAACTGCTCCCCGGGCGCCGCAGCATAAATGGCTGCCCACTGCTCCGGGTGTGTGTTCACAGTGTGTGTGTGTTCACAGTGTGTGTGTGCACTTTGGATGGGTTAAATGCAGAGCACTAATTCCAAGTATGGGTCACCATACTTGGCCACATGTCATGTCACTTCACATGTCACGTCACTTTACTCTGCAGTTTCAATATGACTTGAGTCGTATACTTGTAAGCTACATTTTAATTTGACTTAATACAGTTTAATATGGTAGGGACAATGAAATATTTTACATTTTTGTCACATTTTCATCAACAATTGTGTTTGAGACAGTATAGTTCACACAGTTTAACGTCTTTAAATAATGACATATCTTTAGAATTCCTCTGATAACCGATAACAGCGTCATTTTTAAATAATTCATATCATTTTAGCAAACTGTTCTCTAGTCTGAATATGTAATCGCCTCTTTAACAGGGATTCTTCTTGTGCATTGTGCTCATTCCTGAGGGAAATTTGAAGAAAGATGTGTTTGTTTGCAGTAATGAGGCAGATCACTCAAAGGTCACATGTTCATCCATTTTTAGACTTTAGAAGCCACAACGCTTCACTGGGTGATGTATAGGTGATTCTTTTAATAGTCTCCAACTATAGACATAAAGAAGTGCATGCTTCTTTTCCATTTATATTTACCATACGCAAATCAAACCACAACCCCCCCAGTCCACATCCAGTGACTTATTTGGAACTACAACTTCACTGGAAAATTTTCACCCGCCTTGTGGTCAAATGATTTCACTTGATTATTATGACTAATAGCATGACTCACATCTGTAGCACATTTTTTTTCTTTCTTTTGATCTAATAATGCCATATCTAGCAACATACACACATATAATACCACATAGCAACATACTAAAAACTGCTCTGAACACCATAAAATGAAACCCTGTCAACCATCAACAACACCTAAGCTCTGGGACTTTTGCAAAGCAAGAACAGAAAATCTTCACAAAATGTAAAAATCTCAGAGGTAAAAACAACATATCATAATTTATTTATATAATATTTATATTATTATATATTTATACTATGTTACATTTATATTTATATGTACTTAAAAATTAAAATAAATAAAAAGTAATAAAATAAAAAATATTTATAGCAATTTTACATTATTACATTTATATATTGAATTTCTATATTTCACGTGTGTGTGTGTGTGTATATATATATATATATATACACACACACACACACAGACACTGCCGTTTAAAAGTTTCGGATCAGTAATTTTTTTAAAGAATTTAAAGAAATAAATACTTTCATTCAGCAAGGATGTGTTAAATTGATAAAAAGTGATAGTAAAGACATTGTTAGAAAAGTTTTCTGTTTTGAATAGGCTGTTCTTTTTAACTTTTTACTTATCAAAGAATCCTGAATCACAGATTAAAAAAAGAAATAGCACAACTGTTTCCAACATTGATAATAAATCAGCATATTGATAATAAATCAGAATGATTTTTGAAGGATCATGTGACACTGAAGACTAGATGGCTGACGAATAATTGCTGATGAAAATTAAGCTTTGCATCACAGGAATAATTTATATTTTAAAGTATTATAAAATGTTAAACTGTTGTTTTAAATTTTAATAATATTTATATATTTATAATATAATTATAATATTTATATTTTTAATAATATTTCACAAAATATGGATGTTTTTTTGATGAGCAATATATACATAATATATATTATATAATTATATATGTAATGTAATAATTTATTGTCAAATTACAAAAAAATCCATATCTATCTATCTATCTATCTATCTATCTATCTATCTATCTATGTCTTGCTTGATCAGACAGGTTTATTGTTTGGTGCGTCGCTTCTGACTTTCTTATTCGCTAGTGAACGAGACACATTTGAAGTCTATTCTATTAAATCTCTGATGGCCCAACTGGTGCAGTTTTGATGGCTGGTGCAGGTGTCTCGGCAGATGAGGAGGCAGGCCAGGCCTCAGGAGATCTGACTGGGGTGGGAAGGAATGGAAAAGCTCTCCAAGGAGCAGCGAGTCTGTAGTTACAAGGTCCCTCCCACTTACATCAGTTCAGCGTGTGCGTTTTTCCACCCTGTTTTCAGAGAGCTCTGTGTGCGCTGAAAGCGGTAAACACTGCTGTTTTATTGGCTAATATTAATTGTTTTGTACAGTTAACATTGCTTCAGTACCATTTGGCAACTTAATGACAAAGGATGGTTAAAATGAATAATAAATAGAGTCAAATTCACTTTATATATGTTGCAAACAGTAGTCACCAGCTTGAGCAGTTGCCTGATTGTTTCATTTTCATCTGAGACATAGAAAGCAGGGCTGTGGCGTAGCCTAGTGGTTAAAGACCTGAGCTGGCAAACAAAGAAGTTTAAGAAAAAAAACTGTAAGTGTTAAATGAAATAAATTGGCTGGTAATTTAATGAGAAACTATAAAATAATAAATGGTTTCATTAAATCAAACTATAAGAATAAGTCTGATCTTGCCGACTTAATGCAATGCAAGCAAATTAAATAAAAGACTCACAATCTACAAACGAAAAACTTTTACTTCATTGGTCACATGTACCATCAAAGATTTATCTAGCATCATCCATGTGGCGACGAATATGTTAGAGATTTCTGGAAGCCACTAAAATGTATTGTCACGATGTAGCAATATTAAAATGATAGCTTACAAGGATTTTTTTAATGCTAATAAGCGACAAATAGCTGGTATCAACATCCCATACTATTATGTATAAATTAAACACTAAAAATGAATCATAACATCATAATGTACAGTATGGAAATGGATATTCATTTAGAGATTTGTGTCAAGTGTTATTAAATTAATTTTAGAAATGATTAAATTATTGTATAATTTAATATTAATATTTAATAAATATTTGAATTATTTTATAATTTAATTAATACAATATTATAATTATTAAATTAAATAAAAAATGCGCTTGCACAGTTAAATATCCAAAATCGACCAATACCAATAAACTGAAAAATATATAATGTTGTCAGATAATCAACATGGAATCGATATATTGTGCATTATGAAGATTTTTTTGGGGGGGTCTTTTCACTCAAGTAACAGAGACTGGCTCATCGTGAATAAAAATGATCATGGCCTGTAAGAAACATTTATGGCTGGAATATTCTCTCATTTCTCCCGTCAGTGTAACTATCATGGGATCACGGGAAAATGAAAGTCTGTTTTCTCTGACTGTAAGCGCTAATGAGCATCAGAGGAAATGGGAGGGCTGGGAATTGTACGACAGTACTGACATGAGTGGATGTGATTTGCACGTGCATCAACATCAATTAAGCGCCGTCTCAGAAACCAGACCCACAAACGAGAAAGGGTCAAAGTTCAAAGTCACCACCAACAGCTATAGAGAAGGAAAGTAGATAGCGTTTTTTTTTTTAAAACAACACGCCTTTTTATCCCAACCTAAAGAGCAAACAGACATTTCCATTTCTCACCTGAAAGAAGCGCAAACTGCCTGTGAAGTTCTTCGATTATGTCGACAGCCAGTAACGGCCTGATCTCCTGCTGCATAATCTCATCTGTGAGGAAAGAGAAGAAAGCACAGGAGCATTAGAAATCACAGCGACATGCATATAATTTGCAAAAATCACATTCGGGATATCGGTAAGTCACAAAGTGCATCAGTGGCCCGACCCCTCAGACTGACCGTCTGTACAGCTGCTTCCTTAGAGATGACCTTTAGCCATCAACACTGCCTCTGGTTTGTATCCGCTCCTTCAAACAAGCCATTCTTTTATGCCCTTGGCTTTACAAAAGAGCGCTCGAGTGCTTCTATTCTCTACTGATCTACTGAGGGTCACCCTAAAGCCCGATGAAGTCTGTAGACGAACAAAAGTTCCTCTGTACACGTACACAAAAGACTGCATTACCACTGACTTCTCTTTATCAGACCCTGTTAAGTCTTGTGAGGAAACTTGCTGTTTTTCAGGGGAAATTTTGGGGATGTATTCAGGATGTGCTGGTGTAAGTCTGAAGCCGATTAGCTGAAGTTAATATAGTCACAATGTTTGACAGGCAGCGTGCCGTAAACCGCAGAACAACAGAAATGAGTACTTTTTTATTTTCAAGCGCTCACACATCCTTGTCGAGTGTGTCCTACAGGAAGAACAATGTGCGTCAAGGAGCATGTGAAAACCAGATGTTATCAGCTGGCTGTGGAGTCGCAACCATTGACATCTACAATAAGAAGCCAAAGACGTCCCCAGAGGAAAGTCACCGTGACCGGATCATACAGGACCACTCCTACCGACAGAAAAATCAAACACTGAAAACATACTGTGCTGAAATCTACTTACATAGAAAAAGGCAACATATATTTTTAAAACATTGGCAAAATAAAAAAACATGTGCACATTCATGCAGGGGGATCATACATTCCAGTTTGATCTTACAATTTCTTTTTGTGTGTGTGAAAACAATATACACTATTGTTCAATATACACTATCATTCAAAAACTTGGGGTCAGTATTTTTTTTTCTTTTTTTAATACTATTAATACTTTTATTCAGCAAGTATGTGTTAAATTGATAAAAAAGTGATAGTAAAGACTAAAATTAAACCTGTCTGTTCAAGCAAGATAGACAGACAGATAGACAGATAGATGGATGATATGGATTTTTTTGTGATTTGTTTATTTTTATTACTTTAAAAAATTATATTTTGAATAAATGCTGTTCCTTTAAATTTGTTATTCATCAAAGAATCCTGAAAAAGTATCATAGGTTTCCAACACTGATAATAAATCAGCATATTATAATGATTTCTGAAGGATCATGTGACACTTAAGACTGGAGTAATTTCCGATTTGCATCACAAGAATAAATTATATTTTAAAGTATATTTAAATAGAAATCCATTATTTGTATAACCATTAAATTGTAATAATATTTCACAATATTACTGTTTTTTAGTGTTGTATTTTTGATCAAATAAATGCCTTGATGAGCATAAGAGATGTCTTTAAAAAAATACTTAGTTACTAATTATTTTACTACTACTACTACTACTACTATTACTAATTTACTACTAATTGTTTTTACACTTAACTAATTGTTTTAGTTTTATCAAATTTAAAATAAAATAGATTTGAACAAAAAATGTTTCCAAAGCCAACTGAAACTAAAAATATCTTTATAGTGGTTTTATCATTGCCTCTCAAATTCTAACAAGTGTTATTCAAATTAACTAAAATTATCTTTTTGAATAAAATATACAGATAAACAAAATAAAATTGCATATAATAAACCAATTTCTTCACTTTAAGAACGTTTACTTGTGTGAGATATGATATGAATTACTGTACACTTGGAAAAAAAATCAGCTTTTTACCAAGGGTAAAATTAAAGTTCAAGTTTATTTGTGTAGCGCTTTTAATGATACAAATCGTTGCAAAGCAACTTTACAGCAAATTAAGTTTCTACAATATTTAGTTGTAGCTTATCAGTGGTGAATGTCAGTTATGGCAGAAATGTACGGAAGAATCAATTAAAGACATAATGTCATTGGCCTTAGTAAGAACAAAGACGTCTGATCTAACACCACATCATAATTGTTTTTTTATTAAGCATTAAATTCCCTATGTAGAAGCAGGTTTTCTGTAGCAGGGCAGATGATGGTCAGCATGCCAAGAGATTAAACCCCAAAGCAAACCTGCTGTTAGTTACGGACTTAAGCATCAGCTCCAGGCATGACGAAGCAGATATCGTCCTCTTTTGGAAGACCAAACAAAGTAGTTTCGCCCTTCACTACGAAGCACACAGCGCCTTTATGACATGGTGGCGGCAACAACAATACTACAGCGAGAATAAAAGTTACGCCTTCTTTCTTTGCATGAACATTTGGGCGGCGTTATGCAAATCTTCCCACATAGTGAAGTAGGTATGTGGGGGCGTGTTAGAACGAGCTTAACTTTTATAAAGAATATCTCTTTGGATTTGAGACTTTAGTCTTTGCAACTTTACAGATCTTCTTTATGCACCAAGAGCTTGTAACACTCCAAAGAGAAAGGAAAAATTTAAATCGCAGCATATGACCCCTTTAAACCACTTCATCCAGAGATTCCCACCATTAATCACATCTCTTCAGTTGCATTGAATGCAGCTGCATAACAAATGGAGAGAGGTTGATATTTGTGGAAAGACTCTTTATTGTCTCCACTCACTTTTTCCAGCTGCACAACTCTGTTTTAAAAGAATTTCCTCCATGGAGAACTGAGAGAACCTACCAGCTTCTAGCAAAAAGTCTCCAGTGAGCATCTGGATGGGGGGGGGGAGGTGGTATAGATGAAAAGGAAGTTTTGAGTAAGATGTATTTCATGCGGCAAAGCTTTAAAAAAAGAAAAAAAAGTAATGTTCTGAAGTCCAGCTGGACTGACCCTGAACAGCCTGAGAGAACAACTAAGTTTATGTACTAAGCAGAAGCATTTCCCCAAACATTAGTGTTTTCAGCTAAGGCATTGTATGGCCTTTCTGCGCCTTTCCTTCCCATCGTGCACCAGTTTACAAAACTGCAATGCTCAACGGAGAACTGAATCCCACATATTTTGGTCTATATGGTCACATAAAGAGCAGGACACACCTACATTTCTGTAAAGTCATTGTTTCAATAGGGTACACTGTGCACGTTTATAAGAAGCATTATGTTGATTGTTCAGGCCTGTTGTTGAGGCTTGATACCCAATCAGAGTATCTGGTTACCAAGGGATGATGAATGTGACTTCATCCTATCTGTCTGGGTAATTACAGAGCTCGTTAATCACTCAGCCCATTAGCAAGAGTTCAACAGTCAGATGATCAAGTGTCAATCACCTGTGCCATCCCCACCACAATACTTGCTTTTGTCCCAGCATGGGTCAGGATGTCAGAATAAATATGTTAAACTCACTTACAATTGCAATTGCTAAGCACACTAACTTGCACACTTTGTTCAACACTGATTGCATTCACATGCAGTGGGGACACTGTGACCAAAATTAGCTGAGAGGCATGAGAGGAGCGAGGGAGCCTGAGGGTGGAGATCTGAAAAAAGCCTTCTGTTAGTGTCCAAAAGGCCATACAGCATAAGACAGGTGAGAAAAAATAGTAACAAAGCCAACAAGACCTGATTGTATTCTGATGGGTCAATGACATGATGCTCATTGTTTATCCAGATTAATATATTTTGAAAAACAAATCATACATACAACGACTTGAGAGCATGCTTTTATAAGCATTTTAATTTCTGAATTTAAACACATTTTAAATGTAAAAAATTAATGTATTTCTAAATAACAAAATAATAACATGAAATGAAATGATTAATTTAATTAATTTTGATACAACAACAAATTTGATCCAATTGTTCTTCTAAGTAATAGATAGATAGATAGATAGACAGATAGATAGATAGATAGATAGATAGATAGATAGATAGATAGATAGATAGATAGAATTTTAAATCCCAATACACAAAAATGTTGCAGTTTATATTTTGCCATAATCTTATTATAATGTTTATGTATGCGTGTATACTGGGTGTATGTTTTTTTTTTTGAGAAATACCATGTGGTGTGACTCCCCCCAAAAATGTAATGACATTTTAATGACATTCATGATATAAAAAAAAAAAAAAAAACTTGTACACTGAAAAATATTTGTAATTATTATTAAATCATACATGCATACAATTACTTGAGTACATGCTTAATTTCTGAATTGAAATACATTTTAAATACAAAAAATGTAATGTATTTCTAAATATTATATAAATCCTGATTTTGTGTGTGGTTTTACCAAGAAAATATTTTGTAATTATTATTATTATTTTTTTTAATAATTAAGATACACTTACATGTATTTAAGGTGTAAGGAATTAATATTTACTTGGAATTACTATTTACGATGGTTAAACAACATGACATTGTTACATCAAGTCTTTTTTTAGTCATTAAATGACTATAAATGCTATAAAATGTTTTTTACCCAAAACTATTTGAAATATACACCAATATTAAGAGTATATTTGAAAGAATGTGACATGTCTTTATGACATTTTTAGGCTGACAAATATCTGTGCCACTATTAAAACACTGCCCTGTGGACAGTCTTAAAGGTCATTGACCTTGACACCTCTTGCTCCAGGGCCACTGGTATGGAAAGCACCCTTATGTACTAACTAAGTGAAGCCAACTGTAATGGATTCAATCATCAGCTGCTGGAAGAAAAACCACAGCTCAGCTCTCAGTGGTTTCATCTTCCTTTTTCTGAAGCATACCAATGGTTTCATTTGGGGTCAATGCATCAAGGGTTGCAGTCAAACAGCGGACACTGCTGCATATCATGTAAACAAATCCAGTTTGGAACTCGATCACGAGCCGTAGGGGGTCTCAAAGTGGTTCTGAACACCTACAGTGCATACTCTGAGAAACTTCTACCTGCTCTTCCGTGACACACTGAGCGACTATAACAGAATCGACACAAGAGCTTCACTTCACAGCCTGTCTGAATCCCAATGGCAGACGTTTAAGGGGTGTCCACAGGACATCCAGTCCACTGTCCCACTCTGCTTCCCTTTGATCTTTATAAATTAGTACTGCTGTATGACAAAGGAATCTCAAGACAAGGCTGAACGATTGAGTCTCAGGCAGCAAAATAAAATAATCATAAAATCAAAGCCCTGTGAGCTTAATAATGTCAATGGTTGCAGTAAAGCTTTATCAAAGGCTCTGCTGTTCACAAATGGGATCTCAATATTTTATGGCAGGCAAGACCCACAATCTATCATATTTCCCCCAAAGAAATCACTGAAAGTAGCGGGAAAAGTCCCAGAGCTCCCAACACTCACACATACACCCACACACAAACATTTACATTCCTCTAGGCATCTATTTCAAAGCAATACAGCTTGGACAATGCATGTGCCTTGATGCTGCCTATACTGGGGAAAAAAAGGAAAACAATCCTCATTTAAATTATTTTGTAATATTTTTTGTTTTAAAACAAAAGTTCACTCAATAACAAAAAAACGATATGTGTGTGTGTGTATATATATATATATATATATATATAATTTTATTATATAAAATCATAATTTCCTCGTCATTCTGTACAAGTTTATTACTTCAGTAAAACACAAGAAATATTTTGAAGAAATTTTTACCCTTGTGTGTCCTTATAGGGACAGATTTGTCTTTTTTATTTATTTTTAATTTATTTGATTTATTTTTTTATCATTTTGGCTGGTTTAAGAACAGCATAAATTTTGCCAAAAAATGTGAATTTTCTCATTGGAATTTTATTATTTCACCGTCATTTCCTTTCATGAATCTATTTTACACTAGATACAAAACAAAAGTTACATAGTGTCTCCACCGAAACCCATTCAAACTGCAATATTTAATCCTAATGCCATTTCAGCATAAATTCATGCATTTTTGTTAATATGCTTTCATTCTGTTGGCAGATTGTTTACTATTTTTAAATTTTTTTAATTATTTTACACCCCATGAAACATTTTCACTTTTTCCCATTTTCTGCTTATGCAAAACAGTGGCATTATGTAAACAAACTGGCATTTAAAGGGTCAAAATTCTGGAAATAATTATAAATCAATCAATCAATCAATGTCAGTGAAAGCAGAAAAAATATCAATATATAATATTTTATGTTTTTTGACAGACAATTTTGTCCTCTGTTTATCTTTATCAAAATTGATGCCCAAAGGTTGTCTAAAGAACACTGGCCTTCATTGACTTTCATTATATGGACAAAAAAAACAAAAAACACTGAGACATTTTTCAGAAAATTTTCTTTTGTGCAGCATAGATGAACGAATGTCATACAGGTTTGCAAAACCTTAAGTAAATAACAATCACATTTTAATTTTTGGGTGAACTACTAAATAAAATCATAATGTGAGCTGTTTGAAGTTCACACAAAACTGAGCATTCCAAAACAAAATTCCAGCATACAGTATCTAAATCCCTCTCGATCCACATCCCTACGGAAAAGGAAGCTGCCACACATGAATACAAATCAGAATGTCAGACAGGATCCTGTATCTGGCCAGAACAACAAAAACTCCCTTAAAATGATTAATATCATAGACCCTGTCACCTGGAACAACGCAGGACACGCAACAAACAAGCCATTATAAAGTGAGAGAGTGTTTGGACTGTAAGTGTAGAGGCGTTTTTCTGCAAACAGAAAGTACTCCGAATCATTTTGTATTGGAATGAATGATGAAAACAGCTTTGAGTAAGCCAGCTGGCCTAATTCAGAACTTTTTGTGTAAAAACAACCACTACGCACAGGATTCACATCCTTTACACAGCTGTGTGAAGCTACGTCTGACCCAGTCTGGACAGGTGCGTTTGATTACGCTGGCATGCTTTAAAGGGGCTCTCGATGGAGACTTTGAGGACACTGGCCTCTGAACTAATCGCATATGTGTGTGGATTTAGTCTAAAAATGTTTCCAGAAGGGGAAGGTATCATAATGTATTAGTATAAAATATATGTGCGTGTGTGTGTGTGTGTTATGTTTTCTTTTACTTTGTTATGGTTCATAATAATCAAAATAATATAATCATAATGTGTTCAACACAATTCATATAAATAAAAATAAACATTTCTACGTCTGACCCAGTCTGGACAGGTGCGTTTGATTACGCTGGCATGCTTTAAAGGGGCTCTCGAGGGAGACTTTGAGGACACTGGCCTCTGAACTAATCGCATATGTGTGTGGATTTAGTCTAAAAATGTTTCCAGAAGGGAAAGGTATCATAATGTATTAGTATAAAATATATGTGTGTGTGTGTGTGTGTGTGTGTGTTATGTTTTCTTTTACTTTGTTATGGTTCATAATAATCAAAATAATATAATCATAATGTGTTCAACACAATTCATATAAATAATATATATATATATATATATATATATATATATACAGTATATATATATATATATATATATATATATAAAATAAAAACATACATAAATATATTTTTTCTTTGACTTTGTGCTATCAGCTCGTTGTCTTCTTTCATGTCTGATAGAAACTGAGTCTGACTACTGACCTCCACTTTTAAGCTCAAAGAGGTTCATGCACACAAACAAAGCTGAATATGCAAAACAATTAAAAAAACATGAAATATCAAACTTGCTCTGGCATTTCTGTTTTCACAAGCAAATTAGCCACAATGATGAATGAAGCAGCCAATCTGACCCAGCCATTTAAATCCTCTTTAAGAGCATCTGACACAGTTAACACCGCAGCTCACACACACACACACACACACACACACACACTAAAGCATCACACGTCTCTAGATCTCACTGCAATAACGCTGAAGTATGTTTTAGCTATAGTTGCATCAGAAGCAAACCAGAGTGAAAGAGGAAGGTGAGGATGTATGAGGAAGACATACTTCTCCTCGATGCTAATTCGGTTTCCAGACACATTCCCAGCAAACGATGATAGGACTCCATTTCTCCAGCGGAGATGCGGACCAAGGAAAAGGATGCCCCCCTTGAGTGCCGCCCACATACCGAGCAGTGGGACGGGACGGTCTGATAGCACCGGGAACCTTCCATACTGCAGCACAAACCCACAATACCCCAACTTGCCTCACTACGGCTCACTGGATGAAGGTCACAGAACAGTAAGGACAGATCAGAGTAAGTGGACAGAAGCCTTGCTGTCTCTGGATTAAGAGAACTATTCTAGTTCACTTCTCCTGTGGTTTTTATCTTTACACACACACACACACACACACACACACACACCTCCACCTGAGAGCACCGTCTCTCCCTCAGAGCTGTGAGTACACAACATCCTAACACACACTCACCTATCTAAACCAGAACATACTATACATTTCTGCAGTGTACCTTATCTATCCCTAATAGGTGCATATTAGTACCTTAGATTAGGTATATGTACAAAGTAGTCCGTTTAAGTGTAAGCCCGAGTGATAAGCTGTTGTGTCCCTAAATGTAATTTTTTTTTTTTTGGAGAGTGTATTGTAGTCATTTTATTTATTTATTTAATTTATATATTATATTTTTTGAATTAAAATATATATGAAATTAATACAAAATAAATATTTAACATATTTTAAAAATATTTATTACCGTAATATTTAGCAGATATCTGGGCAATGTTATATGATATATAGCTATGTAATTAATTAATTAAAAACTTCATATTCAACACATTCTCAATGAATTGTAAATCGTAATCAACTTTCACAATGTCAAAATTCTTAAGACAAAAGTCAAAGTCTGACTCAAATTTTGACTATCTATCTTAAAATCTCATTTTAGATTAAAGGTAAAAAGTTAAAGTTGAGCTTTATGATACAAGATTTGATTTTGAAGCAAATATCACTTGCTAGTAAAATAAATTGCTATTTACAACTTATTTACAAATTTGAAAAATATTTTTCACAGTGCATGCTATGTTTTTTGCAGGATTGTTTTAAGGATATGATGTTTTTAGTGAAAAATATTTATACTCAGTGTCCTCTGCATTATAATAATTCAGAGACTTCATACTGCAGCATACAGTACTCTTGATTGACTCTCT